TGCTTGCCCTCGAACTTGATACTCTATGTCCTGATTCTGTGCCTTTTCCATGGCTGACCCCCATGTGTTTGGAATGCTCTCCTGTCTCACCTAGGCTTAAAGCATTCCTGTCTTCCTGCAAGACTGAGCTGAGGCCTTTCCAACCTCATCCCTTACCCCTGCCCCACTCCCGCCCAGGGCCTTTCTCCAGAGATTACCTTCCATCATCTTTGAAAATATTTCCTATGTACACAGTTTGCATGTTGTCTCCCCATGTGAGCTCCTTGAGGGTAGAGGAACATGCTTCTTTGTCTCCTTGTGCTTGACACAGTGTCTGACTCGTACTAATTACTTAAAAATGCTGATTGACTGACTTTGGACAAGTCAGGCAACCTCCCTGGGCTTCAGTTTTTTCATCTCAAAAATAACGGTGGTGGAATGGATGGCCTCTGAGGTCCCTCACAGCTCTGGAGTTACGATCCTATGAAGCTCGAAATCTCAAAAACCAAATAAGTTACCTTGACTTGCTAAACATGACTTGCTAAAAACACAAGGGACAGATATAAGAAAATATGAATTTAACTTATGAACTGTGTATAGTCATTCAGAGAAAACTATGGATTGCTGAAAATACAAGGGACAGATATAAGAAACCATATGTCTAGTTTGTGAACTATGTACAGTTATTCAGAGATATTCCCGTAAATGCAATTACACAGAGACGGAGCTATAAATATCTGAGATTTGGGGCTTCATAGGATCATCACTTTAAAGCTGGAAGGAATACTGGAGGTCATTAAGAGGAAGGAAGGAAGCGTTTCTCTAGATAGCACCAGTTATGTACCAGACACTGTGCTACACACTTCTACAAACATCTCAATTGACCCTCACAACCCTGGCAGGAAGGACTACTGAAATCCCCATTTCACAGTTGAGTAAACTGAGGCAGAGGTTAAGTGACTTGCCTCAGTGAGTACAGATTTGAACTAGTCTTCCTAATGCCAGACCCAGCACTCTACTCATGGAGCCACCTAGCTGCCCTGTACTGAATCCAAACTCCTCATTTTACATATGAGGAAACTGAGGGCCAGAGTTAATTGACTTGTTCATGGTCTTATAACTAGTAAGTGCCAGAGAGAGGCTAGATTTGAGTCTGCTGTATTTGGTCTATTTTTTTTCCACTTGGGGAGCTCACCACCTAGGCCCATAGGGAGGTATCTAATCATGTCATCCTGGATCTAGAACCAGAAGAGATGTTAGAGGCCATTAGTCCAACCTCTTCATTTTTATAGAAAAGGAAACTAAGTAGGGGGAGGAGGAAGAAAGCAGTGTCTTGCTCATGGAAACAAAAAAAATAATAATAAGCAGGGCTGGGATTTTTTAAAAAATCACTTTTTATTCTTAACATAAACACCTGCCCTGCCAAAAGAGAGTTTCCACACACACAGAACAAACCACAAAGAAGACTCCATATGAAACTAAGAATGTCCATTTTACAGACTTGCTTTTTAAAAACATACATAGTAAATTCTACAAGTTATTTTCAAAACTCTCCTTCGTGTCTGTGCTTCTTTCTAAACTTCCTTATGTTCTCTGTGCATTTAAAAAAGTGCTTCAGTGGTCTTCCTTTGGGGGGGGAGACATCATTATTGTTACTAACCTCCTCCTTCCTTTTGACACCACCCCTTCCAGTTAACTGAGAAAGGATACACACACACACACACACAAACACACACACATTTTCTCTCTCCCTCCCTCCCTCCCCCCTCTCTCTGTCTGTCTGTCTGTCTCTCTCTCTCTCTCTCTCCTTGTAACAAATAAGCAAAATGAATCTATATAGTAGTCGTATCCAAAAATGCAGTTCCCTTTCTCTACCTTAAGCCCATTACCTTTCTGTCTATCAAGAGATGGGTAACATGCTTCAGTGTGATTCTGGATTGATTCCAGATGATTCATTATGTTCTCTGGGGACACAGTCGATCACTGTTTTGATCAGAGTTCTGAAGCCTTTCAGAGCTGTTTTTCTTTACAATGCTATTCTGTTGTTCTTGTACAAATTGTTTTCCTGGTTCTGCTCACTTCACTGTGTGTCCATTCATACTATGCCCAAGAGCTGGGCTTTGAACCTAATTCTTCCATCTACTAATTCTCTGTTCTTTCAACTGTATGACTCTAGAGTTGATTTCCATAGGTGTGGTGGTGTTGTGTTGTTTGTGTGTGTGTGTGTGTGTGTGTGTGTGTATATGTATTTTTTTTTGATGTACTTGTCAAGGTATACTCAGAGACAAGGGCTACACCATTCATTCATTATAAGTATGTAGCTCTAAGACATATAAGCATTGTTTCCTTATATAGCATCTAAGCTTTCCATTCATTAATGAGAACCCTAGTAGATGTTTGAGTGAACAAAGGCAGATAAGTGGTACAGTGAGTAGAACATTGGACCTGAAATCAGGGAGACCTGAGTTCAAATATTACCTCTTACTAGCTGTAGGACCCTGGACAAGTCAATTAATTTTTGTGTATCTCTTGTTTCCTCATCTGTAAAATAGGAATAATAATAGCATCTACCTCACAGGGTTGTTATGAAGATAGATGATAAAATGAGATAATACTTATAAATAACCTTGCAAACCTTCAGACTCCATATAAATACCAACTATTATGATAAACAGAACTAGTGAATAGACAACTTGAAGTGTTAGGAGCAAAATCAATGGTTTCTTTGTTGGGAAAAATGGAGACTTATGAGGAATTATTTGGGTCACTGACCTAACACAAATTAACCCTCAATTTCCTGTTCTCCTTCCATTTATTTTCAAAGCACTGTAACATTCTCCCCCTGGTGGTTATCTGAATAGGTAGTCAAGGATGGTATCTGGTTACCCCAGGTGACCTCAGTCACTACTTTTTCACCCCCTGCCCTCCCATCAGATCACACCTCTGAAGCCAGCAGCAAAGCCCTTTGGTTACCTAACCCCCTCTTTCCTTTCCAGTCTCCCCAACAGACGCTCTTCCATCCAGTGACACTGGCTTCCCGGCTGTTCCATGAACAAAATAATCCATCTCTGGGCTCCAGCCATTCTCTCTAGCTATCCCCTGTTCCTCAAATGCTCTCCCTCTGCCACTTTACTGCTGACCTTCTTGGCTTCCTTTAAGTCCTAATCAAAATCCCACCTTCCACAGGAATCTTTCCCCAACCTTTCTTAATTCCAGTGCTTTGTTGTTGTTCAGTCATTTCACTCACGAACCCCATTTGGGGTTTTCTTGGAAAAGACATTGAAGTGGTTTGCCCAGGGTCACTCAGCTAGGAAGAGTCTGAGGACAGATTTGAACTCAGGAAGATAAGTCTTCCTTATTCTAGGTCCAGCACTCTAACCACTTTACCACCTAGCTGTTCCTCCAGTGCTTTCCATCTTTTAATTATTTCCTATTTATCCTGAAGGTAGCTTGCTTTGTATATATTTGTTTGCATGTTGTCTCCTCCGTTAGATTGTAAGCTCCTTGAGGGCACAGGCTGTCTTTTGCTTAGCACAGTGCCTGGCACATAGTAGGCACTTAACAAATGTTTCTTGATTGACTGATTGTGGGCCTTCACAGAGTCTATTTTCCACTTTTCCTGTCTTCTACCACCTCCCACCATTTTGAGTAAAAATGAAAAGGAAAGGATTTGGTCTTAAGGGGAAAAATGGAACTTTGTGATCTTGAGGAGCACTCAAAGATGGCTTGTGTATGACCGTACACTAATTTCTGCCCTCCCCCCCCACAAAAAAAAAAGAAATTAGGAGGAAGAAGGGTGGACTTTGTCATAGAAGAATAGGTGGAGGTTGAACATTAGGAGAACTTCCTAATTATAGAATCATAGTTCCCATGTACATCATATTTTAATGACTTCAGACCATTTTCTGCAACCCTGTTGAGGGAGCTAACCCAAGTATAATTATACCTGTTGTACACACAAAGCAACTGACTCAGGAAGGCCAAGTGATTTGTGTCTGGCCAAAAGCTGGTCAATTGGTCAAGGTAGGTAGGGATCCTAGCAAGGTCTTTCTTCTGTCCCTTGGTCCAGAGTTCTTTCCACTATAATCACCTATGAATCACTGTATGGCAGATTTGCAATGCAGCATATGGGATCCTGCAGCATTTACTTCCCTGATGGTCTTTAAGGACAGGGTAGATGACTTTCTTTTGGACCCTATAGGCATTCTTAGGCAGGTATGTAGTGCACATCTTGTAATCCCTGCTACTAGAAGGCTGAATTTGGTAGATCCCTTGAGCTCAGAAGTTCTGAGCTATAGTGGGTTAAGCCAGGTACTGTGTCCATACTAAATCCAGCACCCGTATAGTGACTCCCCTTGGAAGTGGGGACCACAAGAATGCCAAAGGTGAGGCTACCTGGCCCAGGTTGGAATTTGAGCAGGTCAAAGCTCCCCTGCCAGTCAGTAATAGGATTGGGCCTTGTGAGTAGTCAGTTCACTTAGGGAGATTTTTTTAATATTTATTCTCTTTGGGATAAATGATTTCTTGGAGTCACTTCTATACCATCTTGTGTATCTATTTTTTTTAATTCTTGATTTCTACCTCTGGAGGAGACATAGGCCAGAGAATATGTTTGTATACTAATCAGTAAGGATAGGAAAGAACAAAGCATTGAAGCCACAAGTTGAAAATGTGACATTGAGGCCACATTTTTGGAGTCAGCTGAAATGTTGTCATCCTATGGCTAAACGGGGAAGAGGGGGAGATGTTTCTAGTGTTTTTACATCATCGTCACTTCTCGATTCAACCCTCCCTTGTAATGGGGGAAAAAAAAACACCAAAAGACCTTAGTCAACCAACCCAGTGACTGCATCCGACAGTAGCACATACCACCTTCTGCATTTATACTTCCTTTTAACCTCTCTCCCCAAATAGGGAGGTATGTTTTATCTCAATGGTATTTTTATGGTATTTGGTTTATTCATTTGTATTATTTTAATGGTATTTGGTTAAGTGGGGAAAATAATTGCCATGCATTTCAGGCTGCAGGAGCCACCCTTGGATTTGTGGGAGGACGTTTCATCTCATCCTTTGAGGACTTTGATGCCTTCTTCAGGGATGAACAGATCTTGTTGCCTGCCATCATTATCATAATAGTTGCTGGTGTGATGCTTTTCCTTGGGGTGACTGGTTGCTTTGTCACAATCAAAGAATCCCAGATTGGCCTGCGACTTGTAAGTATTAATTTGGTGATTTCCTTTCTAGAGACTCCAGGGCTGACTTAGGAGCATCCTGTTACATATTTAACAACCAGCTTGGGAGAGGTGAAGAATGTATACAGAACACAGTTTTAAATTTAATTCTGCATTATTAACACTTTCTCCATCACTTTCTAAGTCTAGACAATCAACAAGACAATAAATCAAGCCCTAATTTGCAACATTTGCTGATGACCAAAGTGTAAATGCTCACGCTGAAAATTTAATAATCAGCTTCCTAGCCCTGGCTCTAGCACCCCTTGGGTTGACTCTTGTCCTTCCCATACATATGTGCAGAGTATTCATCTAGCAGAATCCAGATTTCTTCACCCTGCCAGATACCATATCACACAAGCAAGTGCTAGGGCACGGGCCTCAAGGGGCAGGGAGTGCCAGGCATAGGGATACAGGTGGATTGACAATTATTCTTAAAGGTATCTTAACAAGGAGAACAGAGGAGAGGGTAGTGAAAGAAAGAGAAATGAGAATTAACACAGTAAAACTTGGATTAAACGGAACAACATTTATCAAACTTTTAAATAGCTCAGCATTTTCAAGTACTTTGAAGGCGATACATATGACCAACCCCTACACTCCCCAAAAATCCCTACCCCAATTCTAAAGCTCATTATAGAGTTGTAGTGTTTTTGTCACAGGGTTGGTATACATCCAGTCCATATACCTTCTGCAGCTACATGCCTAAGGAGTGATAAACCATATTTCTTTTTTAAAAATTTTATTTTATTTTAATTTATGAAATAAAACAAGCATTTCCAGAAATAAGCGATATTTCTAAGTGACAGTGACTGCTAAAGTACCATCTGATTCTCAGTCATCAAAGAACAGTCCAACTACACATACCAGAGCTAGTCAACTAAGGCAGAAAATTGAACTCATTCATTTTAGGAAACAGTTTTGTTTTGTTTTGTTTTGTTTTACAAGAAAAGCTTAAGAATTTAAACAGAATCAAGCATCTGGTTAACTTTCTGTTAACCTTGCATTCATAACACATCTCTTTCCCTAAGCATTCTGGTTTCTCAAGGTTTCATCGTCAGGAGGTTTTCCAAACTCAGTCACACCAAGAAATGTGCACAAAATGAAGGTGTAACACCAACCATGTTTACCCTCTAACCCAAAAGTTCATAGAAGAAACTGTCATCCCATAGTCCTTAAAACAGAAAATGTCCTTTTTTATACAATATTTTAGCCATATTTTTATTAACAGTTGCCTGGGAAAGAAGCTATTTTTTCAGACTGTAGACATTGACAATAGCAACTTTATATCTATAGATGATTTTCTGGCAAAGATCTTCATTAACAGGGCCCTTCTCAGTCTGTGCTCTTATCAAGAAGGTTTTGAAAAACAAAAGGCAGTTTTTGCTTAATTGGTATTTTCTGCTTCTTATTGCTTCTGAAATTTAACAAAAGCAAATTCCAACCTAGTTAAGGAAAGAAATGATGGCGCTTTGTGATCTAACAGAAGGGACTAAACAGTCAAATGAATGGAAAGAAATTGTGATTTTGTAGCCCTCTTTAATAATATACCTAGGGCAGCTAGGTGGTGCTAAAGCACTGGCCCTAGAGTCAGAAGGACTTGAGTTCAAATGTGGCGACTCTGAGCAAGTCACTTCACCCCTGATTGCCTCCCAAAACACCAAAACAATAGCAGACTCATTTTTGCTCTTGATGCTCATGTGTCCCTGTTTTCTCCCTTTCTCTTCAAATTAACTTACTGATTCAGAGATGATAACTTGGGCTTATCAACAACTGTTTTAAAAGGCAGTGAGGAATTAGCATAAAGCTTCTGCCATCCCCCTTTCTTAAGATTGCTACAAGGAAGTTTGAAAATACTTTCTTTAGAGTTGTGGTTCTTTTTTGGGTCCTCAACTTTTCCCACAGGCACAAGATAAGTAGGACATTCAAAAAGAATCAGCTACTGTATCAAGACAGAGAAGCAAGTACTACAATCTTTAACCCACCCCTTCATCTGAAGCATAGAGTCTGGATCTAAAATGAAAAATGCACCAATCCATGGAGTTAGGAGTTATGAACATTTGGTAGCAACTATTTGGAGTCTTATAAATCTCATATTCTGCCTGGATTGGAACTTAAATGTTCATTTCTAGGCACTGACCTTAAAACATCAGAGAGCAAAGCTCTTCCTTTGGATTTTTATAAAGGCCCTAGCCAGATGTAAACAATTATTAGACACACAGACAACTCATAATTATGTATTGTCTCCCTCTCTTCCTCTCTCTTCTACTTGTCTCTCTCATTTCCCCCCTTTCTCTCCTCCTTTCCCTCTCATCCTCTCTCACACACTGTATGTTCAATTTGAGAAACATTAAATATCAACCTGCACTGAGGATGTGAACACAGACAAGATAGAAGAACCTGCTTCTAAAACTCTGCTACTCTAATGAGGTGAGATGAGGGAGATATGTACACAGATAATTATGATAAAAGGGACAGTATGATAAGTTCAAAAGAGAGGTCCAGACAAAGTGAGAGAGATCACTTTCAGCTGTGGAGGGAGATGACATGGAGGGAGCAGATGTAAGGTCAAGAAAGGCTTTATGGGAGAGATAGCAAAGAACAGGATTTGTACTTTTTCTTTTGATTTTCACATGCCTATATGAATGGTCTTACAAATTTCTTTTGTTTTACTTTTATGTCACCATCCCTTGTAACAGAGCAGTTCAGCAAATTTAAAGTTTAAATTAATTTATTTAGAATTTTAAATAGTAAGGCTATACATTTAAAAGAATGGAACTTTTGTCAAATTTCACTCACCCATTCATTGTCATGGACCCAAATCTCCACTTCAGAATTTTATAGGAGACGAGGGGCAAGATAGACAGCTATAATGAAACAAAAGGGAAATTTTTCAACTGTGGCCATCAGAAACCTTAGCCAAACAATGGAGATCCTAAGATGACACATTTTTTGGAACAATTAGCAGGACGGTGACATAAAAATTAGCAGTCCCCCCCAAAATAAATCTTCTCTTGTGCTTACCTATTTCCAGTCCTGGCTGTGGCACATCTGGACATCCAGAGCAGTCTGCCTTTAATCTTTCTCCTGTGGTTTGTAGCCTGGACAGCTAGCAAACATCCCTGATCTTTGGGCTGCACATGGAAGCTGCTTGGGCCGCGGTTTCTCCACGGGGCTCAGTTGCTGTTCCAGGAAATCTAAAAACAGAGCACAGGTGCCAGAGAGCACCAAGAAAGCTTTTTTTCCTGTTCCCCAGTTTGGCAATTCAGATTGTCTGAAAAGCTCTTACTCAACAACCTCTCCATTGTATCCAGGTTCAGTTTGAGATAATTGGGCTGGGGATCACATTCTCCATGTACTTTAGATAATATGGGGACTCTCCTGACGTTGTTGTCTTTCCCTGGATGCTTTATGGCTTTATGATTAATATAGAGAGGACTGGCTTGCCTATGTGGAGAAACAATAACACACAACTTGGAAAGATAAGAATACTATCTAAATATAGGTTTTTGTGAAAGATACTGTTAGTTTCTTTACATTTTAAAATACTAAAATGTGATCTCTTTTCATTATTAGTTCCTGGCCATTCTTTTGCTGATGTTTATCACAGAAGCAGCAGCTTTTGTTTTGGGATTCATTTATCGGGAGAAGGTGAGTAGAATGCTAATATGATTAAGTGCCTATTATAGATGTAGACTTGGGGCAGCTAGGTGGACCAGTGGATAGAGCACTGAGCTTGGAATCAGAAGGACCTGATTCCAAATCCAGCCTCAGACACTTACTAGCTGTATGATCCTGAGCAAGCACATAACCCTGTTTGCCTCAGTTTCCTTATCTGTAAAATGAACTGGAGAGGGAAATGGCAAACCACTCCAGTATCTTTGCCAAGAAAACCCCAAATGGGGACATAAAGAATTGGATACGACTGAAGAAATGACTGAACAGTATTCCCCAGTGTGCTCACGGAATGTTTGTTAAGCGTCCTAAGCCCCATTTCAAGGCACCTAGAGGTTGCTTTCAAATGACTGGCTAGTGAAAGAGGTAGCACATGAGTGCTTAGCAGAAACACCAAATAACTGATGAAAGGGAGGCAGCTGTAGTCTTACAAGTCCAGAGTTTTCCTCTGAATCACTAAATATGAATCTTTCAGTGGCATATCTGTTCTTCAGTGTAATTGGACAAGCATTTATCTACTACCCTGTGTTCAGGCACTTTGCTAGGCTCTGGTCACATCAAGACACAAACCAGACAGTCTCTCTTCTCAGAAAGCTTATAGCTGACCCCCTGTATCTGAGAACTGGTATCTTTATCACCCACAATTTCCTTACCTCTGGCTAGCTAGGAGTAAATTTTAGTCCTGAAAGAACTTTACATGCCTACGTTTTCCTTTGGATGTAGCCTGGTATATACCTCTCTCTCTTTAGGCTGCATTGGTGTTTTTTAGTTATAAATTTCAAAAAGAAACTATTCCTTTTCTTGATATTATATCCCATACTTGGAGGTAAGTGGAGGGAGGGGGGGATGAGAAGATGACCTGAGAGAAGGTCAAGAGACAAAGACAGTGGGTCCTCTTAGCTATATTATGCAGACAGACATATATATGCAGTAGGGCAACTGGGGCTTTATACCAGAGCATAAATATTTAGAGAATATAAACATTTTAAATGATGGTTTTTTAGAGAATATGTAATTGGAAAATTTGTTACATTTATATTCTAATAGCACTTTCACTCCTTTAGCATCATAAAACTAGTTTAGCAAGATTTATTGATTAAACTAGGAAGCTACCAGATGGCATGCTTCCTCCTTCTGACAGTAGCACACTGCATCTGCCCTTCCCTGGCTCTTCCCATATCCGATTTCTCTTTCTCTCTAGGCAATGGCCTTCTAATCAATGGCCTCACAATGTCCTAGGGTCTTTGTCTCTCCTTCTCAAGGTTCAATATCCCAAGGTCTCCTTCTTGCCCCCTCCCACTTATTCCCACTGATTTGAGGGCATGTTTAGTGCGGTAGCCCTGAATGTTAGAATTACTAGCTACAACTCTTTTACCTATTTATTTAAAAAATTTTTATAGGCCTCTCATTTTTATATCATCTTCATTTCAGAATATATTTTCCCTTTCCTCTTTCCCTTACCCCGTGAGCCAATCATTCTTTGTAATAAAGACTTTTAAAAGGAGGAGGGAAAAAGTGGTTTAGTAAAACTAACCAGCTAGGTGGCTCAGTAGATAGAGCACTGGGCCTGGAATAAGGAAGATTTAAGTTCAGTAGCCTCAGACACTTACTAGCTGTGTGACCCTGGGCAAATCACTTAACCTTTGTTTGCCTCAGTCCACTGGAGAAGGAAATAGCAAACTGCTCCAGTATCCTTACCCAGAAAAACCCACGGACCATATGGCAAAAGTTGAATACGACTGAACAACAACAAAAACCAAGCAATACACATCAATTGAATCTGAGAGACTGTGATATTCTACACTTGTAGGCCCCTGTCTTTTCAAAGAAGAAAGTGGAGTATATTTTGTCAGCTCTTCTCTCAAGCCAAGTTTCTTGGAGATTATAATATTAATGTTCAGTTTCTTTTCTTGTCATTGTTCTATCCATTTAGATTGCTGTAGTCATCTTGCATAATTTTTTCCCTAGTTTTTCTTACTTCACTTTGCAATCAGTATATGTCTTCCTGTACTTCTCTGAATTCTTCATATGAATAATTTCTTTTGGTACTATAATATTCCATGACATTCCATCCACATCCAATGTCCTCTTCCCAATCCTCATTCTCCTTGATCTTTCTGCAGCCTTGGACATTGTTGATCACTCTTCTTTCTCTCCTCATTCTCCTTCTACCTATCTGACTGCTCCTTCTCTGTGTCCTTTGCTGGATCCTCTCCCAGATCACACCCTCTAATTGTAGCTGTTCCTCCGAGTTCTGTCTGGGGTCCTCTTCTCTTCTCCCTCTATGTTACTCCTCTTGGTGATCTCATCAGCTCCCATGGCTCTAATTGCCATCTCTATGTAGATAACTCTCAAATCCACCTATCCTGGCCAAAACTCTCTGCTGACTTTCAGTCTCACGTCTCCAACTGCCTTTCAGATATCTCCATCTGGATGTCCAGTAGACATCTTAAACTCAACATGTCCAAAACTGAACTCATTCTTTTTCCCCTTAAATTCTTCCCCACTCCCCATTCCGCTTCCTTATTACTAAAGAGGACAACACCATTTTTCCAATGTCTTAGGTTCACAACCTAGGAGTCATCCTGGACTCCTCATTATCTCTTAAACCCTCCACCACCCTCCCCTGCCCCAACACACACACACACACACACACACACACACACACACACACACACACATCCAAGCTGTTGCCAAGGCCTGTCGATTTCACTGCTGCAACATCTCTGGAATACGCCTCCTTCTCTTTCCTCTGACATTGCCAGGACTCTAATGCAGGGGTGTGTGTGTGGGGGTGTCTACCTGCCTCTAGTCTCTCTTTTTTTCCAGTTCATCCTCCATTCAGCCATTAAATTGATTTTCCTAAAATTCAGGTCTGATCATCTCTCACACACACACCCTACTCAGTAAATTCCAGTGGCTTTCTATTGCCTCTAGGATCAAATACAAAATGCTCGGTTTGGCTTTCAAAGCCCATTATAACCTCACCCCCTCCCACCTTTCTAGTCTTACTCCTCAACACATACTCTTCCATCCTGTGACACTGATCTCCTGGCTGTTCCATGAACAAGGTACTCCCATCTCTAGGCATTTTCTCTGGCTGTCCCTCATGCTCCCCCTCTTCTGCTCTGCTTAACTGATCTCTCTGGCTTTCTGTAATTCCCAAGTAAAATCCCTTCTTTTATTGGTAGCCTTCCCTAACCCCTCTTCATTCTAGTGCCTTCCTTCTGTTAATTACTTCCTATTTATCCTGTAAGTAGCTTATTTCTACATAATTGTTTGCTTGTTGTCTCTTCCATTAGATTGTAAGCTTCTTGAGGACAGGGCTGATCTTTTACTTCTTTTTGTATCCCCAGTGCTTAGCACAATGCCTGACACATAGTACGTGCTTAATAAATGCTTATTAATTGATTTATTCAAGTACCACAATTTGTAGCCATTTTATCACTGATGGGGCATCCGAGGTTCCTTCTATCTCTTAAGTCCTAGGAACCTATGAAATGCTTTTACAAGGCACTATGTTAGGATATGTGCTAACTGATGAAGATATAAGTACATACGTAATCCTGTTAGGGATGGGAGAGATTTTACCTCTTAAATACTGACATGACTCCTGAATTTTATCACAAGAATTACCTAACTTTTTCCTGATCTGAGTCTTGAGAGGCTACTTTATGATAATTGATATAATTAAACAAGTGTTATTTTGTAATAAGAGCATACAAATATTTTTGTTTGTCCATAAAGGTATGTGTGTTTATATAACTATATCTATATAGCTATAGATATATACACACACATATATGTATATACACACATATATTTTAAATTTCAGGTAGTGGCAGAGGTACAAGAGAATATGGATGAACTCTTTCAGACATATGGTAAGGAAAAGCCAGAGACAGAGATGGTGGATTTCTGGCAATCTCAGGTGTGTAACTGATAAGTAATTAATAATAATAATAATTATTGACTAATCTGTTTTTAAGCTATCTTACAAGGTATATGGGATGTTCTAGAAGTCTTAGTGTAGTTTTCAGCTATTGATAGTTAAAAACTGCACTAAGAAAAACATTAGCATTTGGTTCTTACCAAAAGATTAAGAAACTTATACTAATGTAAAGTTTTTGAAATTTTTAATCTCTTCTTATTTGCAGATGAATAAAAACTGACTAAATCTTGCTTTAGTATGTTCTTCAAGGATCTCTGGTTTCATCCCTCTGCTGGTGAAAATTGCAGGGCCTCTACACTAGTAGACAGACTTCCTGAGTTGCTGTGCCTGAAAATACTTATCATTTGTTGGTTAATCCTCTGGTGATCCTAGTCTGTCCTCACCTAGCTAGGCTGGTCCTGAACTTGTACCCTTCCATTTTGGTTGGACTTACCAGACCGTGCTCTTTAGGCATACCCAACGTTGTAGGACCCAGAGACACCTCTGGGCCTCACAGTAGTTGGATTTTTTTTCAATCAACAATTATTTATTGATCATTTCCATACCTACCACTATACAAAATGCTGTGAAGAATACAGCTCCTACCTTTAAACCCTTAGGACTCTTCCCCTATGAGTTTCATTTCCAAGAGCCCGTGCTTTACAAAGTGCCAAAGTTCAGATTTGGTACTACCCAGAACACATAAAACACTAACACAGTCTAGTTCCCTAGAATTTTGCCCCTATCTACATCTGATTTCTGAATAATGTGGTTTGTTCACTCTCGTATATTGATCTCAATTTGACATATTTCAACAAATAAGCACCATCAGGTAAATTTTAAGTCAGACAGAGAATTAATAAGAGTTCTAGGGTATTCTCTGGGGCACTCAAAATGCTTCTTTTAAGGCACCTTGAAGTGCCTACTAGTTTAATTAAATTTTATCTTCATGATAAAAAACCAGGATTAGGTAGAATTGTACATATTGATTCTACTTTTGTCCCATTTGAGGATCTTAGGTAATTTATTGCTATATTTTCTTGTGTCTGTAATGGTATGTATATATGTACATATGTGTGTATGTATATATATTCTTGTATGTATATATACATTATATGTATGTGTATATGTATACATACACACACACACACACACACACACACACATATATTCTTATTTAACTATAGAGGAAGCTTAGATAAGTAGATAAATGGCCCTTAGAGTCAAGGAAACCTAGAACCTCACCTCTGACACATATTGGACCTGCAACCCTGGGCAAGTAGCTTAACATTTCGATGACCCAGGAAACCATCTTAAGATTATTAAGTGGCAGAACACTGGCTAACCTGCATTGATAGGGGAAATTTCTTACAAATCCAGGTCCCTTCTCCCTTCCTTCCAAGAAAGCAATTTATTAATGATTTCAGATGTAGGAAGTGGTAGCATTTGCTTTTAAAAATTATTTGAGGGTACATTTCTAAAGAAAATTAACTGCTTTTCATTCTATTTCAGTTTCGATGCTGTGGTGTGAAGAACTACACCGATTGGGTTAATAGAGATTGGTTCAACCGCACCGGAAACAACAGTGTCCCTCAGAGTTGCTGCAAACAAGAATTTAAGAACTGTAGTGGACTCCTCAGTGAGCCTCAAGAACTGAATACAGTGGTAAGGCTCACCTTGAACAATCCATAAAGGATATTTCTCTTATTTTAGCTTTTTCCTGAAATAGTGATAGACCTGATTTTTTTTTGGTGAGGGGGTAGGGAGGGAAGAGTTGTACTACCTGTAACTTCTCTGATATAGGAAATTTCCCTTTGAAGAAACTCCTTATATCAGTGCATACTGGCAACAGTTTGGGAATGTATAGTCCTAGAGAGTTGCCTGGGCATGGAGAGATTAAGTGACTTGCCTTTGGTCATAGGTCAGGTTTCAGGGATCTGACTCTGGAACTCAGGTCTTCCTGACTCTGAGGCCAGCTCTTCTTCCTTTATGCTTTGAAGCTTCTCAGTGAACCTGATTTTATATGTCGATCTAATTTGGCCATTTCTGTATGTGGGCAGATGATCAATAAGGAAACTATAAAATGCCACCATAAAGGATTGGTGTTGTGGATTCTATATGTATTCCCTGAACCCAACAGGGAAAGCTGTAAAAGCCTTTATAGAGTTAGAAAAAATACAGTTTATCATCTTGCATATGATTTGTAACTTCCATAGTGTTAATATTTACCCATAGGCAAAGATCCTCTGAAGTTCTATGGAATGGTTAATATGAATCAAGAATGTGCCCTGTTCTACCAGAAGGGTCATAAATTGTAGGAGATTTTGTAAAACAGAGAAACATTCTTAGACATCAGACTCCTCTTCTCCTCAATACACATCACTATATTATGACACTTACACTACTGCACTGTTGGCTAAAAGAGTGAATAGGATTGCTTCTGAGCCTGCTTCAATAACTTCCTAAGAGATGATATAGGTTTTGGAGAGAAGTTTCTTTATTTTTAAATATTTTTTATTCCAAACTTAAATACCCCTCAAAAGGAGCACTTTTTGTATACATAGCAGAACACAAAAGGGTATTCTACATGAAATTTAGAAATCATGAATCTCCATTTCATATGCTTGCTTTTTTTCCCTCTCAAGTATATAGTAAATTCTGCATGATACTTTCCATACTATCCTGCTTATCTTTACTTATTTCCAAACTTCCTATTGTTTTCATCTGCGTATTTAAAAAAAAAAAGTTATAGCGGCCTTGTTTTTTTGTCATCTCTGTTGCTAAGCCCTCTCTCCCTTTTAATTCCTCCCTCCCATTAAAAACTGAGAGAAAGAAAAAGAGAAGCTTGTATCAAACACAGCCAAGAAAAATTAATCCATGCAGTGATCATGTCCAAAAGTGCATATCTTTTTCTACACCTTATTAAAATCTATCACATTTTTATCAGGATATGTGGCTCTTCATTGCTTTGATCAGAGTTCTGAAGTCTTTCAAATTTGTTTTTCTTTATAAGGTTGCTGTGCTTGTATAAATGGTGCTCTGGGCTCTGCTCACTTCACTCTGCATCAGTTTATACTACCCAGGATTCTGTGAAATCATCTTTTTTGTCATTTCTTATGGTAAGGTTATATTCTATTAAAATAGTTATCTGTAAGGCAATTGAAGGCACCCCTTCAATTCTAGTTCTTTTCTTTTTCTCTTTTCAGTGCCCCCTTTTTAGGATCAGATGTATTTCTATACCAACCTGTGTGCATATGAGTGTGTGCAAGCCTTGAATGTTTGAGAAAAGTGATGTTCATCTGATGTCCACTCTTCCCTGACCCCCCTGCACACATCTCAATTATGAGAAATAACAAGTCCCACCTCCTTCTTCTCCCTTCTGACTCTAGTTGTAATGTAGCTTTATCCTTCCTTCTCTTTTCCTTTTAAAAACCCTTATAACAAAACCAATCCACCTTCATATCATTAACACAAACAAAATACTCCACTGCCTAAAGTTCTGAGTGATGCTTGTTTCTTCTCTTATTAAAATGTTAGCACAACAGCCTCATACAACTCCTTCCGATTGCCCCAGGAAATTTACCTTCCTAGGTTTTTCTGGATTCGTGTTTGTATTTCAAAGTTCCTACTCAGCTCTGGTCTTCTCATCAGAAATGCTTTTAAAGTTCTTTATTCCACTAAAGGTTCATTTCCCCCCTATAGGATCATACTTAGCTTTTCAGGGTAAGTTATTCTCGGTTGTAAGGCTCTATCTTTTGTCATTTGGAATATGATATCCTATATCTTCTCTTATTTTTTGTATATGCTGCTAGTTCTTATGTGATCCTGATTGTTGTTCCTTGGTACTTGAACAGTTTCTTTCTGCGTGGCTTGTAGTACAGCTATCCCTTCCACATCTTGACTTTTCCCATCGAGGTTTCCATATATCACAGGTTGGCATAAGAAATTAGATGGGAATTTTTGGGGAGTTTTGCAGAAGTTGCAGACAACAAAGGCCAAAAGATGACACAGAAAAAAGTTTAGAAACTCAGAAATGCATAAAATATATGTATAGTATTGTATAATATCAACCCAAATTTTACAGTAAAGTACTGTGAAACACCTCATTAAAGAAAAAAAAATAATTCAGACTTCTCTAGTACCAAAGGGACAGCCAAAAAATTTTATATAGATTTTTCCAGATTGCGGGGGAGGGTGGGGGATGGCACTGTGTCCCTAGCCAAGATGTGGAAGAGATAACTATTTTTTTTTCTTTAACATGGGAGCTCTGGGTTTTAACTATGACATTCCTGGAAATTTTCCCTTTGAGATTTCCTTCAGGAGGTGATCAGTGGATTCTATCTTTACTTTTTCCTCTGCCTTTAATACAGGGGGTCTTATCCTGTGGTCTATGAACTTGTTTTGTTTTTTACTATTTTGATAACTGTATTTCAGTAAAGTTAGTTTCTTTTGTAATCCTATGTATTTTATGCATTTTAAAACATTCTGAGAAGGCTTCACCAAACTGTCAGACAGGTCCACAATACAAAATAGGGTTTAAAAACTCCTAATGGATTTTGGTGGTTTTCATTGTTTCTTGAAATATATTGCCAAGCTTTTAGAAAAAAATTTATCATTATCTCAGGGAGTCTTAAATTATCTCTCATTGTTTTCCAAGTCAATTGCTTTTGATATCAGATATCTTCTCTTTTTTTTTAACTTGATTTTAACTTGATTGTGTGGAATCATCAATTCCTCTTTGATCTGTTCTAGTTTTTAAGGATTCCATTTTTTGTGTAAGATTTACCACTCTGTCTTTTAAGCTATTTATTATCCTTCTAACTATTTCCTCCAGAAGTTTTTTCCATTTTTTATTTCTTGCTCAATTTCTGCTCACTGTGGTCCTTGTAGAAAATCTGTTTTTTCCTTTAAGTATCTATTTGCATACTTAACACAACAACCAATCAAAAGCAACAGGCATGGGTAACTAACAAAGCAAAGTTAGCTAGCTACAAAAATAATGTTACCAGTGTGTGTGTGTGTGTGTGTGTGTGTGTGTGTGTGTGTGTGTGTGTGTGTGTGTGTGTGTATGAAATACAGGTTTACACATTAGCATATACACAAAACAACTAAAAACAGACATTGCTATGGTATATAAAAGAACCTAGTATAATAACCATAATAGCAAAACATGAAACAAGCATACTCCATCATGCAGTAATTCACATGGCAGTAAACATATGTAATTGTATTCAAGACACATTTCACATGAGTAATCTCTAGTCTTACTGCCTAGATACACGTGTAACTACAGCTTCAGATTTGCCTGTAACATCATAACTTGGCCTAGGGATTGTCAGATAGACCTAGTTCTCTTGTCAACGACTGATCTCTCTAGACCAGAGCTAGTAGTTGGTATGAACTAACCATGAGGATCATTATCATAGACTTGTGTCTCCACATCAGTGCTGGCAGCCTCGTCAGGTTGTCTGTCATCATATTACTGCTTCATGGGTTGAATTTCTGCCCCAGGAGAGTCTGTATCAGTTTCAGCCAGGGAAAGGAGCTGGTCTGGGTTCCATTCTCTTGCCTTGTAATAATACACACAATCTCCTGCATTGGATGCATCGCTTTCAGTGCCTATATCTGTGTCAGAAAGTCTGTACATCTGATGAAGGAGTCCCATACCAATGGGCTTTGGGGCTCAGGTTATACCTTGTTATGTATATTCCAGTTAAACAGAAGTATGCTGTATTTTAATGTAATGTAGGGGCTTTGATTTTGCCACATACTGAAGCATCCACAGGGCAATGTGGAGATTTAGGGGAATGCCTTGGGTGTGCCTTCAGTCCTTCTAGGTATTTAAATTTTTTCTTCTCACTAGGGTTGCGCTGGGTTAATGGAATTACGAATAAAGGAACTTATCAATTACATCATGATTGTCATCCTAAGATTTGCTGTTGTAAAGGTATTTACTTGAATTTTCCAGATGAATCTTCTCCAGAAGTACTTATTCAGAATTGCAACCAAGGTGTTATGACTAGAATATTGCCCAGGATTCAGGATTTGGGGCCTGCCTCCATCCCGTGGTCGTCCACAAACCACTGTTCCCATGCTATGTACTTCCGGTTTCCCTCATTGTCTTAGTATCATAAGGTGCCCATCTTCCAAGGCTCACCTTCCCTGCCAAACTCCATTAGGCTATACTCTAATACTTACGATAAAGAATAATGAGTGCCTGGATTAAGAATCAGGATGAAGGATAAATCTTTAAAATAAATACTGTATAGAATATCATAGTAGGAGTTAGCAGCAGTGAGAATATATCAGAAGAGATAGGCAAGTAACTCTCAAAAATCCTGCAGTTCAGACAGGAAGCTGAGCAGTTCAGATGATAAGGGTTCCTGGAGGAGAGAGGAGATCTTTCTTTGGTGTGTTCACTTTAAAAAGAGGTAAATGATTCTCTGAGAAAATCCTTTTCTTTTCCAGTTTTTTGGAATGCTGAGCATCTTGGTGATTACATGCAGGCAAGAAGAGAATGCCTACCAACCCTTGAACTCAGGAGTGTTTGCTTGAAAAGAGATGAGCAAATGAAACTTCACTGAATCATTCAAACAGAAGTGGCTTTTACAGACTGACCCCAAAGAATATTAAAACCCTGTGGATAAATATTTTTATTCATATGGACTGAAGATGATAAGCTCTGGAATTTGTCATTCTTACCATTCTGTTCTCCCATACCACTCTGACACACAATCAGCAATATATGAGAAATAGGACTTGATTAATTGAATCTACATCTAAGTCACCTAGAAATTAATATCCTGTAAAAATACCACATTAATAGGGGACAGTTAGTTCCACGGGAGCAGTGCTATAAATGAGTGTCAGATGGAATGTAGGAAATTTGGGCCTTGATGGTAGAATTTTATTATTATATATTGGTTACAACAACTTTATGACTGTACTGCTGCTTAGCTTTTGAAATTATGAGATATTTCAACTGTATCTGGGCTTAAGTTGGCATGCCACACACCTAATTGGGTTGTTTTGGTTGCTTAAAACACTAAATTAAGGTATAACAAAATTGATTGTTAAAATGCTAACCTAACTGTGGTTTGATTCAGCTGTATTTTTTTGACAAGATTATCGCTTACTAATGTACCTCGTTGTGAAAGCCATGCCCAGCTCATAATAAACAAACTTTGTTTTCTTCCTTATTTAAATTCCATGGGTTTCTCTGATAAAAAGTATGTGTCACAGAATGACAGATCACAAAAAAAAGCTGATTGGTCTTTAATTTTTGTTCTCTCTGGTCATAAAATCTTAACACATTTAATACCATGATTTTATGATCTGGGCCAGCTAGTTGGTGCAGTAGATAGAGCACTGGCCCTGGAGTCAGTAGGACCTGAATTCAGATTTGGCCTCAGACACTTACTAGCTGTGTGACTCTGGATAAGTCACTTAATCCAATTGCCTAAAAAAAAAAAAAGACTTCATTGTCCTGGAGCTGCTCATTTTAAAATCATCTCTGGCCACACATTTCCCACAAATGATCTATCAGTTCAACAAAGGTTGGATTATAATTCTCTACCCAAGAAAACTGTTTAGAGATATAGCATTCCAAGAGGTTCAAGGATGTCAAAGAAAACACCTCCAACTTGGTGGCGTAAATAAATATTATTTTGCAGTTACTGAATACACTGTTTGTATAAGGAAAACACCTTTGGAAGAGAAGCCATTTTTAGATCTCTAGTAAATGTGCATTTTCAAATTCAGGTTAGGCCAGTGAATTGACCAGCATCATTGCCTAGGGAGTGGTGCCAGACCTCTGCTATTGGTGCTTTGGATTCTATAACATAAGGAAAGAAGAGAAAATATCAGGGAGATCTCAGGCAGAAATTTCAGCAATGGAACTTTGATGAACTCTTCTAGTGAAGGGGACTTTATCTTTTTAACTGGTACTTCAGATTGATCATTTGGTTTATCTGGGGTGTGTGCGACAGGAGAGGGTTCATTTTTATGGGATGGGATGTATTTTGTATAGCCCAATACCTGTAGGCTATCTTTCTGTACGGTGGTTCTTCCATTTTCTCTGATTATTACCCTGTTCACAATTATATTTTGATTATTATGATGATCATAATATCAATATTATATTATCCAAAAGACAATGTGGGAGTCTTATTTCTCTTAGGTTTGGATATCTTAAGGTTTTTTCCATGCTAAGACTCTAGAGGAATTGTTTTATAAGCTCATACACTTATTGTTTGGCCAGAGATTTGACTTTCTGCCCCTTGTTAGTGACTACAGGAAATGAAAGCATTTCAGGGACTCTTTTCATGGCTCTCTGGTTAGTCAGTTTTTCATTCAGTCTTTAGACTCTTGACCACTTCTTTGACTCTCCTCTCCTCTGAATGATCACTTCTTGTTCTTTAACTTTAAGCCAATTATTAGAATTAGTCCTTTCCTCCTATGTAGTTTCTGCAACAGCAGGTTTTTCTTCAGATTCTGAAGATCTTTCATATTTTCTTGCTCTCTTGGACACCCTGGCTTGTTGGAGTTAGAGACAGAAAAGCCTAGGCTTTTCTTGCCTTTCTCCAAACCACATTTTTTTTTCTTTTTGGTTCTACTTTTTTTTTTCTGATGAAACATTTTTTTCCAATGGTTGACTAAATAACATCCTCAGCAACAATGTTTCCTAAAACTGTTCACATTTTTTCCATTAAGAGATCCAAATGTTCAAATTCGGTAGTCTCTTCAATGATTTTGTAATTTTTTAGGAATTCTATGCCTTTCTCAGTTGATCATTCAATTTCAAGACCCTTCTAACAAGGCTTTCAGCTTTTGCCATTGCTAGAAAGCCCCTTATGAGTTCCTGTAGGAAAGAACTAGACAGAGGCAGCCCCTAGAATATCCCATAACTTCCAGAACTACACTCTCTTCACATCAGAGACAGAACATAATAAAAGATTTGGGAATTTTGCATTTCAGAAGGAGCTGTGATAGGGGAGAACTGCCCTGATACAAGCTGGCCCTTCTGAAACTGTGTGAAGAGATGCTATCTGGGAACCCTGCCATAAAGGTAAAGAGGCTCACTACTAATTTTTGGAAAAGGGCTGACCACTGGAGGAGTGAGCCCAACCAAAATCTTTGTTCAAGGTTAGTCTCATTTGTTCTATCATTCTCTAATTCAGCTTTCATCCCACCACCACTAGAATATTTCTTTTCTTTTTGAGTCTTCTATGTATTTATTGTTTTACAGCAGAATGCTCAACATAGATCATCGTAACTGCCAAATATATAGTGCTTAAGTACAAATGGGAGATATGATTTAAAATAAATACTTAAACACAAATTTATGGTCCTACTAAAGAACATTTAAACTAGATGGTCCACATTGATCTGCCTCCTTGTTATTTTCCCAAAAACCAAAAGAATCAATATACTGAATCATCATCAGTTCCTCTTGTGTGAACAATGGATCACAATAAATGAGTCCTTTTTTCTATTAGCTCTTCCTGGCTCCTCTACAAACATGATCTGGCCTGCATTAAAAAAAAAAAACCAAACCAACAGGAATTTCTTGAAGTCAGTGATCCAAAATGCTAAGTATGGTAATGATCTATATTCACTGGTTCCATTTTTAGTTAGGATGTACTTAGATTACTTTCTTCAATTCATCATACAGGATAAGCACTAAAGTTCCACCCATGCCTCTAAAAACATCAGACCAGGCACCCTAGAAGAAAGCCTTGCCACTCTCATCTTTAGCAATCTTTCCCCCAACAGTCTGTTGTCCCAGCATACGAGGCATCAGCTCCTTTGTACCCAGACTGCATCATCATTCACTGCCTTACTATATCAAAGGGATAGGAGACCATACCTGCCACAGCAGTCACTGTTTGTGCAATCAACCAACCTATCACAATGTGAGTGTTCTTCAGTTCTGGGAGCATGCCTTTTGCTGTATCGTGGATTCCAAAGTAAGCTGCTATAGCTAATAATAACCTGCACTGAGACATTAAAACCTTGATACAAGCTAGAAATTCCATCAAATTTGGTGATTTTCAAGAGGCAGTCTCCCAGGCCTTTGAATTCTCTCTCAGTGCCAGATTTCCCAACATCAGCTGCCAAGTGGGTTCTCACAAAATCCAAGGGGTAGACAAAGCAGAGAGAAGCGGCCCCAGCTGCACCACCAGAGGCAGGACTGCCAGCAAAATGCCTCCAGAACTGTGTGTGCTTTGTGTTCCCCAAACACCTGCTTGTAATCATCCTTAAAGGCAAAGTTTAAGGGCCTGGGTGGGGGAAATATCTGATGACATTTGCCAACTTACCCTGACAGAAGGAAAACACCCCGTTTTCCTTTAGAATTTGGACTATACAATCCATTATGCCTTTGTACTACTTATCAGCAGCAATTTGTTTACTTGCGTGCTGCACATGCAATAGTAGTTTGACTCTCTTGATGGTGCTCACTGAAGTCTTGGAAACAGAGCCTCGATGCCACAGGCCAGGAAGTCCTTGGCAAAGGAGATGGCCTGTTCCATCATGGTTACAGAGGGGGAAGATGTTGGAGTTGGAGGAAGAGGGCCAGTGAGAGAGGGCTGAAAGCTGGGGAACTCGTTGCTGCCTGCACAGCCCCTTGCTACAGAGAGGACCAAAAGGCCGGAATAAATATTTCTTAAGTGTAGATGTGGCCATGTCTGATAAAGATCTCATATATAGGGAACTGAGCCAAATCTATAAAAATAAGAGCCATTCCCCAAGTGATAAATGGTCAAAGGATACGAACTGGCAGGTTTCAGAAGAAGAAATCAAAGCTATCAAGTCATATGGAAAAATGCTCTAAATCACTATTGGTAGAGAAATGCAAATTAGAACAACTCTGAGGTACCACCTCATACCTATCAGGCTGGCTAACATGACAGAAAAAGAAAATGACAAATAATGGAGAGGATGTGGAAAAATAGGGACACTAATACACTGCTGATGGAGTTGTGAAGTGGTCTGACCATTCTGCAGAACAATTTGGAACTATGCTCAAAGGGTTATAATACTGTTCATACCCTTTGACCCAGGAATACTACTACTCTGTCTGAATCCCAAAAAGATCAAAGAAAAAGGGAAAGGGAGCTATTTGTACAAAAATATTTATAGTGGCTCTTTTTGTGGAATTGGAAATTGAGGGGATGACCGTCAATTGGGAAATGGCTGAACAAACTGTGATATATGATTGTGATGGAATATTACTGTGCTGTAAGAAATGATAAAAAGGGTGATTCCAGAGAAAACCAGGAAGACATGTATAAACTCATGCAAAATAAAGTGACTAGAACCAGGAGAACATTGAACACAGTAACAGCAATATTATAAAGATGATCAACTGTGAAAGATTTAGCTACTCAGATCAAGACAATTCCAAAGGACCCATAATGAAAAATGCTATCCCCCATTAGAGGTATTTTGCATGACCTCACATGTGTAATTAAAATCACAATGTTTGCTTTCTAAGGAGTGGGGATGGGTGGAAGAGAGAGAATTTGGAACTCAAAATTTTAAAAAATAATTATTACAAATGTTTTATGTGTAATTCAGAAATATTTAACAAAATAAATAAAAATAATTTAAAAAAATATATGAATGACCAAATTGGTTCAGATGTTGGAGGGGGAATTCCTAGTCAGTTATAGGTGGAAGTTGATGGTCATTGAGGTCCCTTAAAACAGGGTGTGCTGGAGCCAGCTCTAACAAGTGTGTATTTGTTGTTCAATCATTTTCTACTTCTGTCTGACTCTTCCTGACCCCATCTGGGGTTTTCTTGGCAAAGATACTGGAGTAGTTTGCCATTTCCTTTTCCAGCTTATTTTTTAGAGATGAGCAATTTGAGGCAAACAGGATTAAGTGACTTGCCCAGAGTGACACTGCTATTAAGTGTCTGAGGTCACATTTGAACCCAGAAAGATATCTTCCTAATTCCAAGCCCAGAGCTCTATCCACTGAGCCACCTACCTTCCCCAACAAGTTTGTATAAGAGCCCTTAAATTTTCAGTGTGAGCATTTACATCTCAAAAATCAGCTAAAGCTCCAGATTAAAGCTTGATTTATTGCTTTGTAGATTGTCTGGACTTAAGAAAGTGTTAATAATGCAAATTAAACTTAAAAGTGTCTCTCTGTGTGTACACACACACACACACACACACATATATATACATTTTCACCTGGCTGCACCATTCTTGGGACTTACTTTGACTTTTTCACCATGCCCAGGAAGCTTATTAGTGGAATAATCTCATCATCCAGTAAAAGATCTCGTCCGCCTTGGGACAAGACTGAGGGGTTGTGCCATGAACTCCAAACCTCTGTTTAAGCAGAGACTCTCAGCTCAGAACATTTCTCACCTGATTGAACTGATTTCTCTTGACTTTTTTTTTTAACCATACGAAGAGTGAAACAACTTTTCATTCCTTCCCTTCACCCCTAAAGCCTTCTCACTTTCCTTTTGTGCTTTCTCTCTCACCCCTCGTTGATTTTAACCAACTTGACGGTAGGAACCGTTTTTTTGGTTTGTTTGCATTCCCAGTGCTTAGCATAGTAGGCACTTAATAAATGTTTACCAGTTATTGCCTATGATCTCATTTGAGCCTCACAACATCCCTACTTGTAACTCCAATATTTTCTAATTTGGAAAAATAAGCAATGCCCCTGGGTGTGGGGTGGGGGCCACAACCTCGGGGAGGAGACTGAGGATAGGTGGGTGGTGGTTTAGGGGGCTGGGAGACTGCCTAGAGCACCTGGGCCCTGGAACAAGGAGTACCTTTCAGGCACAACAGCATTAAACACTTATCTGTTGGTAAGCTTTTATTAAGCACCACTATGTACCCAGGCACTGCTAAGCGCTTTCGGCAAACGGCAGTGCCTGCTCTCAAGGAGCACACAGCCTAATCCGGGAAACAACTTGCAAACGACTGCGAACAAACAGGTTGACGGGACATAATCAGCAGAGGAAAAGGACTGGCATTAATCGGGACCAGCAACGGCTTCTTGTAAAAAGTGAGATTTTTAGCTGGGACTAGAAGGAAGCCAGCAAGGCTTCCATCTGTAGCTAACTAATGCAGCCCTGCCCGCTCGTTTCAAGTCCGCAGGGGTCGGCATGGACAAAATAAAGCTCATATCCAAACACTGAGCATGCCCTAAACACTAAGGGTCAAGAGTGACGTCATAGATCCCGCTTGCCTTACCCTCGATCCTCGTTCCCGCTCTCCTACTTGGACTACTAGGAACTGGCAAAGGTGGGCACGCGCATGCGCGGACTCTCCCGTCCATCTGCTCGCGCCTCTCGCGAGGGGTTGTCGGCGCCTGCGCCCTGCGCAGAGGAGGGCGCGCAGTTTGAATTGGTCGCGGGCCCGAGCTCCTTTGCGGGCTACTTCCAGCGCCGAGACTTCACAACGCCGCATGGCCTGGTCCGTTCAAACAGAGTTAGTGAACTCCAGCGTACGTCGGCCCCGTGAGGGGGGCGAGAGGGCGGAGGGGGGTGAGAGAGGAGAAGGTCGCCTGTGATAGGCTGGAACGTGGGCGGGGCCGGCGCGAGGTGCGGGGCCGGGGGCGGAAGGAGCGGTTCGTTGGCGGGTGACCGTTAGCTCGTGGTTTCCTGGCTTTGCCCGCCCGGGCTTAGTTGTAGTGCCTCGGCCTGCTCGCAGCTGCCGGCCTCTAGCCTCGAAGTGGAGCCCCCGTGACCGGCGCGTGACCCTGCCCGAGGACCCGAGCTTCGTTACCCGTGGTGGTTTGTGCCCCGAGCCCGGGCCCAGCCAATCCTGCTCGGGCCGGCGGAGGGGGAGGGTCCGGGGCCTGGAGGAGGAGCTGGGACTGGGCGGGGATGGGGAGGAGCCGAGCAGACACCGGCCTGGGCAGAGTGCCCTTGTTCTCGCGCTCATTGGCTGAGCTTTGAAAAGGCCCTTTTTGTTTGTGTGCATTTGTCCAGATAGTAACATGTTAATTTTTAATGTCTTCTGTAGGGAAACATACACATACGTGTGTATAGATCTAGATAGCTTTTTCCCTCAAAGAGGTATAAAGGATGGCTGGTGCGGAACTGGAAGACCTGTGCTGTCATATCAATGAAAAAATTTCCCACGTTAAGAAAATTCTGCAATTGAAAAATATTGGTAAGCTTGTGGAACAGTGTTGGTCGAAGTAATTTAAGATGAACGCTATTCTTATTAGATTTACTCATTTACCCTTTTCTCTGAAGAACACAAAGCATGAAACCAGTAACCCTCAAGTACCTTGCATTCTGAAGTATAGAGAGGCAAGTTAAAAATTTCAGTTCAGCAGACATTTTTGAAGTGCCATTATATGTAAGACATGGTGGTAGGTGTTGAACATAGAAAGATATAAATATACTTTTCCCCAGCTTTCCCTAATTCTTGTATAGGAAAATTATCAGTGTTACTTCTTTAAAATGATTATTCTGGAGATTTTTTCAGTCTTTTACTTGCATTTTATCTTTATGTTCAACAGGACATGATCCAGCCTTAAAGACTGTATTTCAGAAAATTAGAAATGAAATGACTCTTCTAAATGACCTTTTAAACAAGTTGGAGCTGGAGATTCAATATCAAGAACATGTCAGGAATTCACTTAGGGTAATTGAAATTTTTGTCTTTTGCAAAGAAAAGGTAATTCTGAAAAAAAGTTTCAAAAGCACCATCTCAAAATGATGAAACTCATCATATCCATTATCACAAACCAGTGGTGTACTGAATTATAAGTTTATAATGGAAAGAGTACAAAATTGTTACTCTCAGTGGACCATATCCCAAAACCTTTATATGTGTGTGTATAAATGTAGGAATATATGCATGTGTGTATTCCACCACTCCCCCCCCAAAATCTTCCCCTTAGAAATGGTTTGCTATATTTTTCAATGCTTCAAGTATTAGACTTCAAGTTTTTAACGTAAAGGTAGTTAACCAAAGGAAGTAGCTATTTTTCAAGTGCAGGAGAACTTTGTTTACAATTTTCCATGGGAAAATGGTGTAAGACTTAATGAATTAAAATTATACAAAGTTAAACCAAGTATTAGAACTTTATCTTTTTGAAAATTTTCCAGAAAGTATCAGCTCACCTACTAGTGTGAATGAGGGCATTTAAATATATTCAGATAAGTTTATAAATTAACACAACCTAACTTTGCTTTGAAAGCCAGAAGATCCAATACAGTGTTATCACTGTAAGATACTGTAACTAGTTTAACTCATTCATTTTACCAATGAGGAATCTGAGACTTAAAGCAATGTCATGACCTATTCTTGGTCACCTAGGAGGCAAGGAGATTAATTTTCAGCTTTAATGACTTCTTTTTTATGTATCAGCACTCATAAATTCTCTATCCTATTATGTCCATATCATTATTCCCCTGAAGTGCCCATCAACCATCTTTCATGGTTGTCTGTTAAGGAGGGCAAACAAGTTGGGGAGTTAAGAAAACCCAATTTTAAAAACAAATCCCACTTTTCTCTTTTATTGCACCCTGCCTGACAAAAGAATGTATCAAAGTTCATAGCCCATCAGCTTTGCTTAGTATCAGGCTTCATTAAAGATTAATCTTCCAGACCCTACAGGAGGTAGGACTTCGTTTTCCCATATCTAGAAATATATTGTATGCTGTAGTCAAAGAGGCAAAATAGAGAAAGGAAAAAGGTTATCTCTACTCTTGAATTCTGTCCAAGTGACGCATACTTTTGCAGTCTCTGTGGGAATCGGACTCTCTTTTGCTTGCAGTAGGCATGTCTCTGAAATCAGACAGTAAAGGGCTTCTGGATTCTATTTCTTTTTCTCTTTATGGCTTAGGAAAGCAATTCTTCATTTTATACTTTTGTGCCTTGTGCTTTTAAGGACTTTTTGATCTTCCAAGTAAATGACTTTTGTTTTTAACTTCTTTTTGTAAAGCAAAATAGTTTTAACAGATAAACTAGAAAGTAGGTAAATAGGAAAAGGACTAGACTCTAGGACTTGAGAGAGCTAGGTTCTATTCTCATTTCTTTCAGTAACTGGTGGTGTCATTTAATGAGTCTCTTTCCTCATCAGGAAAATGAGAGGGTGGGGGATTGGACTGAGTAAATTCAGCCAGGGAAAGTGTCCTTATCAAGATTCTTAGCCTGTGGAAATAGAGATAACAGTGCATACTTTATAGGATTGTTAATGAGAATAAATGAAACACCTGTAAAGCTTGTTGATCTCTTCAGAGGAAAACTGCTATGTACCTAACAGTATATTACACATAGTAAGTGATTAATAAGTTTTTAATAAACACTTATTTATCGTATTAGAAATAGTTGTCTGGGTTAGTGGTCTCAAACATTCTAACCATAATAGTTTGAAGATACCTTAGGCCAATAATGTATAGGTTAAAGGCTAGATCTTGGGTGGGAAATGTTGAACTTGGCATTAAATGCCTACCTGTGAAATTTCTGTTGGCATTATTGGGAGACAGGTGACATGAATCCAAAGAAGCAGTATATTTTCTTATGTAAATGAATATGAGGCCACAGCCTGTAAGTTGAATCAAGTTAAGTAAGCCTAAAAGAATGAGAGTACTTAAGCAATTTAAATGGAAAATTAAACAGCACTAGACTTGGTATTAAGAGTTTCAGAGTTGAATCTTTGCTCTGACATTTAATAGCTATTTGACAAGGGTAAATTATTTAACTTAGCCTCAGTTTCCTCATCTGTAATATGAGAGTAATATATGCTACTTATATCAGCATTATGTTTAGGAAAGCACTTTGTAAACCTTAAATACTACATAAATGTGAGTTTATGAGAACAACTTTTTTTTTTCTCACAATAATACACTGATGCATTATTAGGGCTATGATCTTGGCAAATATGAGTAGTATTGGGGTGCATTTAATTCCCAGGTACAGTTTTCTCTACTGATAAATATTAGGACAGTTTTAGTTTTGAGGGAAAAAATATTCAATTTTAAAAAATGATATACTATTAATGTAATGATAGGAAATGCTGTATGAAAAATCCAATGGGGAAAGACAAAATACAATCCAAGAATGTTTTCAGAATACAAACCAGTTTTAGGTAGTTATATTCATCCAATAGCTTACAAATGATTCAGCTTCCTGAAAATTCAAGGCCATGGTCATACTTTAATATTACCTAGGTAGCCTAATATATTTTTAATTTTGGCAGATATTTGTAGAATGCTATTTAAAATAACTTTTCAATACAAAAATATAGAACTTGTTTTTCTTCAGGAGTTACAGGAATCCCTTGATGGAGATTACAAAGAAATATATAACCTTAAGAAAAATATTCCTCCCCATTTGCCCAAAGTCGTCCAGAGCTGGTAAGCACATTTCTATTATTGAGAGATTCTTATTACCTGGTATTTAAAAATGTAAAATAAGAAGCAGTCTCAGGGCTTAGAGCCCACTCTTTGCCAGAATTTCTTCACTTCTCTTCCAATATAGTTTTTTACCCAATCATCAAATGAAAGTGCTTTTGCCAATATTATAAGGATTATTTAATTGCAAAAGCCATTGATCTTTTCTAAATCCTTTGCTTTCTTGATCTCTTTGCATTGTTTAGCACTGTTGACCAAACTTCCTGGACACATCTATTTTTCATCTCTCTTCTATATTGCAGTCCCACATAACCAACAGTCTCCTGGAAATTTCTATTTGGTGTCTCCTTGGCATCTCAAATATAACATGTCCAAAAGAGAATCTGTTAGCTTCTTCCAGAACTTACCTCTCTTACTAGCTTCCCTATCTTGGTTGAAGGTGCCAACATCGTTCCACTCATTCAGGTTCATAGCTTGAGTCATTCTCAACTCTTTACTTTCCCTTACCTAGTCAGTTTTAAAATCTTGAAAATCCCACCTTTACAATATCTTTCATATCCATCCCTGTCTTTCCACATAATGTGACCACCACCCTCCATCAAACTCTTACCACCTCTTTCCCAGACTATTTTAACCATTGTTTTCCCTGCCTTGAGCCCCTCTCCTTTCTAATTCAGCTTCTAGATAGCTAGCAGCTTGATATTCCTAAAGCATTGTCTGACCAAGTCATACCTCTGCTTGGGAATCTTCATTAATTCTCTGTTGCTTCAGAGAAAAAATAAAATCACCTCTGTCATTCTACCTTATTCCTCTTCACACACTGTGTTCCAGCCAAACTTATCTGCTTGCTGCTGTTCATCTATAACATTTTACCTTTTATCTCCTTGCCTTTATACGGCTGGCCCCCACAGCTGAAATACACTTCCTGTTCACTTCTATCTCCTGGAACTTAATTGCATTAAGCTCCAGCTGAAATGCTACCTGCTGTGTGATTCCTTTCTTAATTTCAGGAAAGCAATGGAAATAGAAAAATATATGTAACAATTTCTATAGATTTTGTTATAAAAGGAGGAATTTATTCCTATTTACTACACATACCTGTGCATATTCTTTTGTAAACTTTCTAGTTTTCTGCTGACTTTTCATGATTCATATATGTTCTTTCTGCCCTTATTCCATAGTGTGGTGGAACCAAATGCTAATCCTGAAGAACAAGTTAAAATTACGGCATCTGAACACTCAAAGAAACCCTCAAAAGAGCAAAAACCAATTAAAGAAATTTTACTATTAACTTCTGATGAATTCGATAATGTGCCTGGGTAAGTATGCAAGTTTTTTTAAATTTAATACTTTCTTTAATAAAGGATTTATATATAGTTGACTTAGTTATAAATTTGATTATATTGAATATAATGTCTGCTGGAGTCACATTGCTTGAATCTTTTTTTATTTTTCCTTTTATGAATTTGATTAACAAGCAAATCTGAAAAGAACAAAAAAGATTCTATATGAAAATGTAAACTTACAGGGTTTTAAGTGCATATTAAATTTAATAAGATAATAACAAATTTTCCTGTTTGTGTCTCTAAACTTTTTAATTTTCCTTTATATTTTTATCATATTTATTTATTTTTGCTTCTCTAATACTACCCACTAAACCATCTCTCCTCAAGACTTTTGCATTTTACAAAAGTGTTGAGTCATGAAAAACACATCAACATACTCTCCATGTCTGAAAATATACCTTTAATCCAGGGGTTCTTAATTTTGCAGTCCATGACCTTTTTAAAAAAGTATTTTGATAATTTTTGTTATAATTGTTTTGTGTTTTTTGTCATTTTCTGTATTTTGTATTGTGCATGTGTAGATGTATCTCTGAGAAAAAGTCTAGGGGGCAGCTAGGTGGCTTAGTGGATAGAGCATTGGCCCTAGATTCAGGAGGACCTGAGTTCAAATCCAGCCTCAGACACATAACACTTGCTAGCTGTGTGACCCTGGGCAAGTCGCTTAACCCCATTGCCTCGACCAAAAAAGAAAAAGAAAAAAATAGAAAAAGTCCATAGGCTTCACCAGACTACCAAAAGCATTCATGACAAAAAAGGTTAAAGAATCTAACTATAGTCTATATTCCTTTTCTTCCAAGGAATAGGAAACATGCTTCATCATTAACATCTACAGTTTTTCAAGGTTGTTTTCCTTATCATATGGAGTAGCCCTCGTAGTCAGTACAAGGGTGAGAAAAAGCAGTACTGGGGTATAATTGCAAAAAAGACAGTGATATCTGTTCAAATTCAAGGTAAACTGTTCAACATGACAGTAACACAAGGCTATGCTCTAACTACTGATGCTGAAGAGGCCAAAGTTGATCAGTTCCATGAAGACTTACATCTGGAAATAATACTCCCCCCCCCAAAAAATGTCACATTCATGTCACATAGGGGATTGGAATGCTAATGTAGGAAATCAAAAGATAATTAGAAAAACAAGTTTGGCCTTGGAGTACAAAATGAATGGGGCAGAGACCAATAGAGTTTTGTCAGGATAACAGTGGGCATAGCAAATAGTTTTTCAGCAACCCAAATGGAGACTCTACATATGTTCATCACCAGATGGTCAATATCAAAATCAGATTGATTAAATACTTTGCAGCCAAAGGTCAAGAAGCTTTAAACAGTCAGTTAAAACAAGACCTGGAGTTGACTGTGGCTTAGAGCATGAGCTTCTTATTGCAAAAGTCAGACTTAAATTGAAGAAAGCAGGGAAAATTGTCAGAATGTTTAAGTATTACCTAAATTATATCCTCCATGAATATTAAGGGGAAGTGATGAATAGATTTAAGGAATTAGATTTTGTAGTTGGAGTGCCTGAAGAATTATGGACAAAGGATCACATTATTGTCTAGGAGGCAGCAGCAGAAAACATTCCAAAGAAAAAGGAATGACTGATGAGGCTGAGGAAAGAGCTGATGAGCTGAGGAAAGAAAGAAAACAAAAGGTAAAGGAGAAAGGGAAAGATATACCCGATTGAATGCAGAATTCCAGAGAATAGCAAGGAGAGATGAGGTTTTCTTAAATGAGCAATCCAAAGAAATAGAAGAAAACTGTAGAATAGGAAAGACAGATCTTTTCAAGAATATTAAGAGATGTCAAGGGAATATGTCTTGTAAAAATGGGCATAATAAAAAAATGATAGGGACTTAACAAAAGTAGAAGAGATTAAGAAGCAATGGCAAAAAAAAAAATAGGAACTATATAAGAAAGAGATTAACATTACCAATAACCATAGGGTTACTGATCTAGAGCCATACATCCTACAGAATGAAGTCAAGTGGACCTCAGGAAGCATTATTAACAATAAGGCTAGTGGAGATTATGGAATTCCAGCTGGGCTGTTTAAAATCCTAAAAGATGATGCTGTTAAAGTGCTGCACTCAAATTGCTAGCAAATTTGGAAAACTTAGCAATGGCACAGGATTGGAAAAGATAAGTTTACATCCCAATCCTAAAGTACAATACCAAAGAATGTTCAAATTACTGAACAGTTGCATTCATTTCACCCAGTAACAAGGTTGTGCTTAAGATTCTGCAAGCTAGGATTCAGCAATATGTGAACTGAGGTTGCTGGAAGAGCAGGCTTTTTGTTTTTTTTGGCAGGATTAAGTGACTTGCCCAGGGTGACTTGCCCATCTACTGAGTGTGTGAGGCCAGGGCTGGTGCTCTGTCCGTATCACCACTGAGCTTCCCTGCCACCTTTTTGTGAGTGGTGGGGCAGGCTAGTTTTCAAACAGGAACAAGAGACTAAATTGCCAACATTTGCTGGATTATGGAGAAAGCAAAGGAGCTTCAGAAAAATAGCTACTTCTGCTTCATTGACTACACTAAAGCCTTTGACTGTGGATCACAACAAAATGTGGCAAGTCCTCAAAAGTGTGGGAGTACCTGTAATTGAGCCAAGAAGCAACAGTTAGAACTGAACGAGGAACAACTGATAGGTTTAAGATTGGAAAAGGAATATGACAAGGTTATATATTGTCACTTTATATATATAACTTATATACAGAGTACATCATGGAAAATGCCAGGCAGGGCAAATCAAAAGCTGGAATTAACGTTGCAGGGAGAAATATCAACAATTTCAGATATGCAGATGATACCATTCTGATGGGAGAAAGTAAAGAAACATTAAGAAGCCTCTTGAGAGTGAAAAAGACAAATGTAAAAGCTGGCTTAAAGCTTAACATCCAAAAAAGTCAGATCTTGGCAACTGGTCCCATGACTTCCTGCCAAATACAGGTGGAAGAAATGGAAGCAGTGTCAGATTTTATATTCTTGGCTCAAAAATCATTTCAGATGGTGATTGCAGCCTTGAAATTAAAAGATGCTCCTTGGAAAGAAAGCTGTGGCAAATCAGAGTTCTGTATACAACATCTGTAGAGCCATTGTGCTGTGACATCATTGTGGTATGCCTGTGAAACCTGGACATTATTCTAGCACCATGCTAAAAAATTGAACTGCTTCCTTTTGAATTGTCTTAGGAAGATTCTTAAGATTACCTGGCAAGATAAGGTACTGGAAACATCCTTTTCGAGGTGAACTAACAAGCATTCAGACTGTACTGCAGAGAGCACAACTCCAATGGGTTAGACATAGTGTTGGGATGCAAAACATACATTTGCTTAAAAGATTATCTTACAGAGAATTCACACAAAGCAAGCACTCACAGGAGATGAGAAGAAGTGATAGAAGAATACCCTCAAGGTCTTTTCTGAAGAACTTTGGGATCAATTGTGAGACATGGTAGAGAACTGTCCAGTGTGTGTCTACATCAAAGGAGGTGCTGTGTTCTATGAGCAAAGCAAAATTGCAGTAGTTGAGAAGAAATGTGAGATGCAGACATATCCTTCCCAAGTGTTCATGTGGACTATTTGTGTCCAACCTATGGTAGAACCTTCTGAGTTCATATTGGTCTGATCAGCTATGGCAGATGCACTGTACACCCCAACGTTATGATGTCATTTTGGTCCTCTTCAGTTATGAAGGACAACGATGACAAATGATCAGCATGTTAAAAAGCAAGACATCATCTTGCTGACAAAGGTCCATATAGTCAAAGCTGTGGTTTTTCCAGTAGCAGTGTATGGCTATGAGAGCTTGACTGTAAGGAAAGCTGAGAACGGCAGAATTGATGTTTTTGAATTGTGCTGGAGAAGACTTTTGAGAGTCTCTTGGAAAGCAAGGAGGTCAAACCAGTTAATATTTAAAGAAATTAATTCAGACTGTTTATTGGAAGGTTGAATACTGAAGTTGAAGATTTTTATTTTGGACACAGAATAAAAGACAGGACTCATTGGGAAAAGCTTGGACAGACTTTGAAACATAGAGCAGGATAGAAAGGCCTGGCATGCTGTGATCTGTGGGATCATGAAGAGTAAGACATAAGTGAACAACGAATTGTGATCTTACTATAAATTGTTTTGGTTCTCATTTCACTCTCCATTAGTTCATATAGGTCTTCCCAGCTTTCTCTGAATATTTCATATTCATCATTCCTTATGGCATAATAATATTTCACTGCATCCATATACCGCAGTTTGTTCAGCCATTCGCCAAGTGATGGGAATCCATTTTATTTCCAATGCATTTCATTTGAAAATGACTTCATGTATTTTGACCTCTTATGTTGGAGAATGGTGCTTGTTGTTTTTAAAAAACAGATTTTATTGATATGTTTTGTTTTAAATCTCCTAGATTTCCTCCTGTGTAATTCTCCTATTGTTCTGTTTTTATTAAGGAACAGTTACAAGTTACAGAATTTTAAATCTTCATTTTGTAAATGTGAAATGATTGATATCTTTGATAGTTTTATATTTTAAGAACTATGTCTTTTTATTTAAATAAGCAAGCCTGTCAATACAGAAGTTGTAACATAACTCTTTCATGTGGACCAGATATCTAGAGGCCTTCTTTTTATTAACATTTTGTTTTTGTTTTGATTTTGTTATCTTTCTACAAATTTACTTCATTTATGTTTTGAGAACTGACCTCAGTTTTTCCATAATCTTGAGCCATATGACCATTGTACTAAAAGGGACCCAGGAGATCATCTAGTTCAGGATTCTTAATCTGGGTTCCATGAACTTGATTTTAAAAAAACAACAACCACCACCTCACTGTATTTCAGTATAATTGGTTTCCTTCTATTTTACTTTATGCATTTAAAAATATTATTCTGAGAAGGGGACTTGTAGATTTCATTAGATGACCAGAGGGTTCTGTAACACAAAACAAGTTAAGAGTGCTTGATCTAGTCTCTTTTTATAGATTGGGAATCTGAGGCCTAAAAAGGTCAAATAACTTGTTCAAGGTCATATGGCTAGTTGGTATCAAGGTGTTTTCTAGAATATAAAATATAATTTTATCACTTGTTTAATGAATATAATGGGAACAGGGGATTTTACTTATTTTAGTTCCTTCTCTTATTTTTCTCTTTTTTTTATAAACCAAGGAGAGACAAAAGGGAGAAATCAACAGGAATACTGGTAGCCTATATGGTATTTGGAAGAGTAAGTGTTGCAGTCAGGGAGATTTAAACTAATTTAGCAGATAGGTAATAGATGTATTCAAGGTATCTAGTTTTCACTGTTTAACCAGAGGGAATGAAGCTGATATCTTTTGAAGAAGATAATCAAAAGCAAACCAGTAAGTTATATTTTTGTTGTACTCACTGAAAATGTAAAGCATTCTTGTTTGGAACTAAAGAACGTACCAAGCTTTGATGGGTAGGAAAAGAGTTACGAATAAGGCAAGTTATGATTTAGCTTATTACTACAGGTTAGAGTAGAAAAGATAAAAAGTGATAGAATGATTAAAGGAATGGGGGATCTTGAGGGCAGAGAAGAGCCTTAATCTCTGCTCTTCTAACTCTAGTTATGGACACCATTAAATTTAGAAGTATCCTTTGCCCTTCTTCCTTTACTCTTTCTTTTACAACCTCCATTTCTGTTTGTAGACAGTTGGATGCCTACAGTGTAGCACTTACTGTTAACCATTTTCTTTCCCTGTAACCATTTAAAAATTTATAAAGAAATAAAATGTTATGTTCAGGTTAATCTGCCTTTTAGAAACAATAACATTTAAAATAGGTCTATAAGTAAAGAGTAGAACCATTTCTATTTGATGTACAGAAACTTTTATTAGGAAACATAGGTACTGAGAGGCTACCATCTTCTTTTAATCTTAAAATGCTAGAGAATATGTCTTTCATTTTGTAAGTGGCACAGAATTTTTGAAAATGAGACTGTAGTGTGAAATGAAAAAATTCTCTCTTCAAAATCTACTCAAATTCAGTGATCTAATGTAAAAAATTTTCAAAGAAAATAAAATTGTGTGTGGGGGAGGTACTTTGTATAAACTTTCTTGTCCCTGTAATTGTTTTCAGGTATATGAAATCTCGTCTGACATACTGTCAAATTAATGATTTTATTAAAGAAATCAACAAGGCAGTGGCTAGTAAATATAGAATCCTAAATTTGCCCAAAAAAACTATGAATTCTTCTATCAGAAATCTGTATCATAGATTCATTGAAGATGAAACCAAAGATACCAAAGGTAAGTGAGAAAACCTGTCTATTCCAGCTATAGTTAGTATAACTTCTTAAGGAGTCTGTGATATGCACTGGTATGGGTACTTAATGCAGAACTCTACCTTGTTGATATATATTTATTATGTATATTCATGAGTTTCTAGGAACAAAAAAAAATCATCACCTGGTGACCAACCTCTTATGATGAGTTTTTCCCAACTTAGGCTAACAATCTGTCATCCATATTCTGAGGCTTCTCAGTGTGGTATGGTCTGCCATTATAGCTTGGGGAACGTAGGGTCATTTCTGTGGCACAGTTGAGGCATTGGAAGAAGACTTTAATGGATGGAATTAATATAGATACAGCCACAGAAGTCAGTAATCAGTGAACATTTATTATGGTCCTACCATATGCCAAGGCACTGTGCTAAGTACTGAGGATAAAAATACCAAAGAAAAAAATATTCACTGCCTTGAAGGAGCTTACGTTCTAATGGACTAAGACATCATACAACACAAAGGAAGCTTAAAAGCTGGAGGGGACAAGAGGAGAGGGTTGGGAAAGGTACTTGCTAACACAAGAGCATGGAGAAGAAGTCAGAGAAATCCAGTAGTTTAGCCAGGTAAGAAAGGAAATGTTCTGAGCTGAACTCCCTCTTTAGATGGAGGATTTGGAGTTCATGACTTCAATTTTCCAATTAGAGGATCTTGGGGTTGTGCTGAGGTGAAGTACCAAGGCTGATGGATCTTGTAGGATGATGATAATGAGCTTTTTTTTTTTTTGGCAATTGGGGTTCAGTGACTTGCCCAGGGTCACACAGCTAGTAAGTGTCAAGTGTTTAGTCTGAGGCCGGATTTGAACTCAGGTCCTCCTGACTTCAGGGCCAGTGCTTTATCCACTGCGCCACCTACTTGCCCCCGATAATGACCTTCTTAAGGGCATGGCAGAGAAATCAGAAGAGTCCAGAAGCAGTACAGCCAGGTGAAAAATGAGAAGGTAAAACTTATTTTTAGATGTAAGAGCCCTTCTTAAATTTGTCTCTTAAGGACCAGCACTAAGTCTTTTATTCTTAGAATTACAATAGTGAATTGTTCAGAGGACACTGATGGAAGGTTAATGCATATGTTATTAAATTGCCACATTAAATATTATGCAACTTTACTAGATAAATTTTTTTTAACATTGTAAGAGTACTAGTTAGACACCTTATGTTAGCAAATGGTAATATAATACAGATTTACAATTTATGCATTACTGTTACCTGTGATGTTAACCTTTTACAAATAAATCTCTTTTCAGGCCAGTACTTTGTAGTAGAAGCTGATATAAAAGAGTTCACGAATTTGAAAGTTGACAAGCGGTTTCATGTGATACTGAACATTTTAAGGCACTGCCGACGGCTGTCAGAGGTCCGTGGAGGAGGACTTGTCCGTTATGTTATAAACTGATAGGTTTTGGCATTTTCACTGACAGTGTTGTATAGACTGTTTTGTAATTCCTGTTTCATAATGTGTTTTCATTAGCTTTTTTAATTTGTTCAGCACTTAATAAAACTTTAGTTTGTTCTGCACTTAATAAGTATGCTCTTGGTCATAACAGACTAGCCAGGTAAAAATATATACAATTATCACTACCTAAAAGCAACTCAGATTAATCCACTTTTGATTCATTTGTTTAGTGATGTCCTTTTCTTATGTGAGGATAGCTTATTATTAACCAACATGATACTTGATTATCTGACCCAGCATGTCTCCTGCCTGGGTCTTGAACTGCTGAAGTATTGCACGGATTGGAGCTGTGGAACTAACCTTCCAAAGAACTATTTGGTTAGTGATAAATGAAGTTATGGGTTTTATGAATTGCATGAGTTTGCCTACTTTACCTGTTGAGCCCTCTCTTGTACTTGTTCTTTGCCAAACTTTAAGACCAAATTACTTTAGTGCACCATTTGTGCTATATTAATTTTGGTTGGTGTCTTTGTTCTTTTTTCCATATGTTTTTTCCTTCTAGTTTCCTTAAAGGTGAGAATATGTGTGTATGTATGTATTTATGTGTGCATATGTGCATGTATATATGTGGTGTGTATATATGTGCACATATGCATATATATGTACATAAATATGCCTATATACATGTGTACACACACATACACAGTTAAAAAAAATCTCCTGAAAGTATATTTTCCAGTATTTTGCATGTAGAGGCTGTTCAACAGTTCTTATTGATTTCTGTATAGACCTGAAATGGTGGATTAATATTGCCTTACTGGGGCATACATTTGGGATTTAGAGACCCTATTAAAACTTAAGCTTATTCATTGATATTATTTATGCCAAGATGATTGGATTTCAGGAGAATGTAAGCTCCTGGAGAGCAGGGGCCATTTTTTTTTCTGTGTCTTTGTTTCTTTGCTGCTTTTTACTTTAGTACTTAATAATTTTTTTTTAAAGTTGAGTGGAATTTATATCACTAGAATAAATTTGCAAAGGAAATATTTAGGGTTGGCCATAAAATAGACTTGGAACATAGGTGGTATTTTCATCACACCTTCTACTTGAAAGAGGTTTTATGAATTGTGTCAGAATGGGATTTGGGTTTTTGGACTGTGGCACAAGAAATCTTAAGTAGTTTTGGAGAGCCTCAATTTCCTGGATAATTGCTGAAAATCTATTCTAAAAGCAATAGTTATAAATTCCTGTCATTCTTTGCTTACATTTTCATTTGGTAGGAGAAGGGTATGAAGGGAATTACTTTGGTCCAAATTCTTAACAATATCAAAGAACTAGTTAGTATAGTCTAAGGAACAAGAACCCTTAAGAGAAAATGGCCATGTCTCTTCTAAGATAGGACATTCTGGGTATGAATCCAAGTGAAAGTATGTTCAAGTTCAGAGGATGCATGTGACAAAGTGGTAACTCAGTTCCTGGAAGTCCTTTTGATGGAGTTCTCATGAGATTCCTCTTAGATAAAGTGTAGCTTTTCTGATGGGATCTTTGTATAGTGTTGAATCTGTGTTCCTTATCACATCTAGTGCAGACGTTGCCATCAGCCATTCAGTATATATTCAAGTATATATACCACATATATACTTGTATTCATAAAATTAGTAAGATAAGCTTAATACTGTGGCCTGATGATAATGAGAATACTTAACTATTCTTAATGGAGTTTAGAGCTTCTAGTCCAAATGAATCATGTTCCAAAGATATTTAAAAAACTTATAGATATCATAAGTTTTCATTTTTACTGGATTTTGGAGAATGGCAATTTGAACTTCCATTCAAAAAGTTGGAGATAGGCAAATGGCTTAGTGATTTTTGAAAGAAGAAATAAAATGAGTTCCATAGAAGAAAGTAAGATTCAGCCTGGATTCATAAAGAATTAGTTGTGTCAGATTAACTTCCCTCCTCTTTTTGATGGGGTTAGTGTAAGACTGGTGTTAGGTCTAAGTCTTAAGCCATGCCAGGATTGGATATAAGGCTAAGTCTCAGGCAGTACATAAAGATGTAACCAAAGGCTGTCTCTGGAAAGAAATCACAAACTTGTCTGTATATTAAAGATAATAACTCATGAGCCAATGGAAAGAGAGAAAGCAAAGCCATAGTAAGCCTGGAAGAAGGAAACATGGTTCTGGTCTTTACAGGGCTTAATGTCTGGGGGGAGAATCGACACCTACTTCAGGTAAGTCTTATGATTTCCTGCATTTCAACAACACTTAATTGGTTCTGGAAGTTCATCTGGGTCTGAATTATCTACCAGAGGCGACTAAAACAGACTTCTCTATGACAACTACCAATTTCTAGTGGTGAGGGAAGTTGGCTTTTCTCAAGCCCTCTCAGGCTATCTCCTTATGTCTACAGTGGAGTTGTAAAGCACCTAGTGACTCAATATCCAACTTGGAATTGGTAAATCAAGGAAGTTAATTGATATTCTCCATCATATCTTTGTAGACAAGATGAAATGTGGGCTTGGTAATTGTGTGATTGGATTCAAAGCTTGTTGAGCAATTACAGAGTATTGATTTACATCTTGGAAGGAAGATTTGTAAGGTCTGCTGAAAGTCCGTGGCCCTGTTCTTTTTGGTATTTCTATTAGTTTTTTTGTAGATGTTCAGAGAATCATAGAAAGACTGAGCTGGAGGAACTGTTGGAAATGAAGTCCAATCAACTCATAAATGAGGATGCAGATTTAGAAATGGAAAGTGACTTGCCCATAGTCACACAGTAACTAGCTTCTAGAAAGGGATATTTGCTAAGATTGTATGGTTGGTACAAACATTCCCCTTAAAAGTCTGTGACCCACACTTTCCTAACAGTACATACAGAGTCCAAGTGAAAGTATGTTCAAGTTCAGAGAATACATGTGGCAAAGTGGTAACTCACTTCCTGAAGTCCTTTTGATGGAATTCTCATGAGAGTCCTCTTAGAGTGTAGCTTTTCTGATGGGATCTTTGTATAGTGTTGAATCTGTGTTCCTTATCACATCTAGTGCAGACATTGCTATCAGCCATTCAGGAGAGGCTGCTGGGCCATAGAAGAGAGTCCAAAATCCCTCATACCCATTGAAGCTTACAAGACTTTTAGCCATGTTGAGGAGTGCTCTTACCCCATCCCCCAGTTCCTTATCGTGAGTTTAGCTGGAACACTTCTCAAATGCCAAGCACTTGCCTTTCCAGTTTCGAGTAGTTTGCTAGTTTTTTATAGGACCCAGAAGGTGGCCAAATCCATTAGCCAATCAAACACCCTTTGTGCGGCACCCAGGGAGGTATATAGGCCATGTTTATACCTAGTGGATAGTCAACATGTCTTCTCACTTGATAAATATATGATGTAGCATCTTAACACTCTGTGGTGTGGGATAGTTGTCTTTGCTGACTCTATGCATATAGGTGACAATGCTATCACGTCCTTGGCTGCTGAGCTAGAGAAGCCTCTGACGCAGCTTCTGCTCAGGAAGAAGAGACAGCTTCAAGCTTGAGCTCTTAGTTGAACATTGTCATGTGGCATGTAGTGCTCTTGGTCTCTAGACTTCCTAGAGGGGACGGGGGTGTAGAGTTTGTTATTCTTGTCCTGTCACCACTTCCACCTTCCATGGGTCCTTGTACAAATGCTTATTATACCTGGACCCCTCACTATCTTTTTTGCTTTACATCCCTTCCTGAATAGTGACATAACATTGTTCTATGGGTGAATGTGTCCAAGCTTAGTGATATTTTCAATTTCTAGAAGTCCTGGGTGCAATATGTGAAGCTGGCTCACAGTAAAGGAAGTTCCTCATCAGAGAAGACAAGTGTTAACAAGAGGAGGAGTCGAAACCTTGACTTACTTTTTAGAAAATGTGAACTTTGAGGGAGACTAAGTTTATGGAACCATGTGAAATACAGAGTGCCTAATCAACTGTCCCTCAAACTGTTTCATGTTTAGATGAAGCTTAAGTTTCAGTATCCAGAGAGATTGTAATAGTAATTATACATTGTTACTGAATCCTGTTTTATGTACTTCTACCTATGAGTGCGTGAGTCTGTTTCTTAGCTTTGTGTATATATGTGTGTTTATATAGGAAAATAAATACCTTTACCATACCCAGTTAATACTGTATGTTGAATACCTTCCTAATCCCTCACCTTTTGTGGGAGACCCTATACAGGAGCATAACCTAAACTATAAATGATTTATCCTTGAAGCATATGGATGAGGGCTTACTGAGCTGAAAAATGTGAGAAAAGGAAGTCTAACTGCTTGCGTGAGAAGTATGGTTCTCCCAAGACACCTAATTCAGATTTTCTGCTTTTATCTAAGGCACAGGGGTCTCTTAGGGAAAAGGGAGCATGTGCAATGTCCCAGTCCATTGGGCCCAGAAATGATTTCTTATTGCTTGACAGGAAATTGAGTCCTGAAAAAATTAGAAATTCCCCAGATGATAGAAATATGTTGTTATCTATGGTCCAATTCATTTGCTCTTCGTACTGTTCTTCAGACACAAAGCTCTAGCTCCTCTTTCTGTGCCTTTATACAGTCTACCTATATGCACCCCACAGCCCATTCCTGGAATGCACTCCCTTCTTATCTCTGCTTCTTAGGATTCCTGCTGTCCTTCAAAGTTTAGCCCATGTCTCCTATGTGAAACCTTTTTTGATCTTCTCCAACTGCTGCAGAATCCATCCTCTCCACTCCCCCCCCCCCACTATCCTCTATTTATAGAGTATTTACTTAAGAATATCATCTCAACAGAATGGAAGCTCCACGTAGGCAGGAATGGTTTAATTTTTGTCTTTGTATCTCCAACACATAGTACAGAGCCTGATGCATAGTAGGTGCTTAATACTTATTTATCAATTGATATATATATACCTTGCTTTATAAGGAAGATTGTACAAATTAAACATTGTAAATGGAATGATATTAATTTTCCTCTGAAAGTGCTCTATTTAATTGTTCCATATCAAATTCTTTTACAAAATGAAGAATTCTTTTGTAATGCAATGTCTACTGTAATGGCATACATATGTATTTTATTATGTTATTTTGGTAACATTCTAGGCTAAAATATGGTCCTAGCTACTTTGCTAATTTTTGGTTCATATTAGAATAGGAGAATTATACCTGGATCTGGCAATTGTTATTGGTCTCTTCTTTCTGGAACCAGTAGAAATTGAGAAAATTAAAAAAAAAAGCCTTAATATGTAGCTGTATTTTATTTATTTATGTTTATTTATTTATTTTTGGTGAGGCAATTGGGGTTAAGTGACTTGCCCAGAGTCACACAGCTAGTAAGTGTGAAGTGTCTGGTCTGAGACCTGATTTGAACTCAGGTCCTCCTAACTCCAGGGCCAGTGCTCTATTCACCGGGCCACCTAGTTGCTACCTCCCCTCTTTTTTTTGGTGAGGCAATCGGAATTAAGTAACTTGCTCAGGGTAACACAGCTACTAAGTGTCAAGTGTTTGAGGCAGGATTTGAACTCAGGTCCTCCTGACTCCAAGGCTGGAGCTCTTTCTACTTCGACACCTAGCTGCCCCAATATGTGGCTTTATTTGACCACCACCTCCTCCTACAACAGGGAAATGGGAAAGTTGTAGTCATGGGCTTCCATTACCTCTGTCTATCTTTTTAGAATAGCTGGCTTTTTTTTTATGGTTAGAAAAATATTAGAATCAGAATATGTTAAACAGGCACTCAATAAAAGGCTAACGATACAGTCTGTATTGTGTATCAGAACCCTGAAAAGAACATAGCATCCTTGTTCCTTTGCCATGGTCTATTTTTCCACTTAGTGGGGCACAACTAAGAACTTGCTGTATTTTTGTCTGTTATAGTGCTAATTATAGCAACAACTGCTGTTTTGACATCTGTTTAGCTAGCAGCTGGTGATACCTACCTGCTGTTCCTTCTGTCTTATAACATGAGAAAGTAACTGCCTTGGATGGCAGTTAAAAGGAAAAGGTAAAACAAGGTTGAAGTTAACCAGTAAAATGATCTAAAAAAAATAAATTAACCTCCTCTATATGCAACTATGAAATAGTCTATTATTAGCCTTAAGCTTTCTATGACCCTCATTTTGTTTTGTTATACAGAATATAGCTATGTTATATAGTTGTTTTTTTTAAATGTCATCTTCTGTTAGATTTATCATAGGTTCATAACTAACCTGACTTTTATACTCACTCCACATATAAGCACCTTAAAAGCAGAAGCCAAATACAGATTATATTTTATATTCAGCTTTAACTTGCTAAAAGTTTTTAATATAACCATTAAAAAAATAGTTTGCGTTTCTTTCCTCCTTTACTCTGTTACACTGTCCCTGTTTGAGTCAATTAAGAATGTTCATAGTGTCTGGTAACTCAGCCAACAGAGGAAGTCTTAGTTAAGTGACTTGAACAATTCATTCAGTCATGGATTTAGGTACCAACTTTATGAAAGCCACTACAAAAACAAAACAAAAAATGACCCCAGCCATCCAGAAGCTTACATTCTGCTGGGGAAGTAAAATATTTACATAGATAAGATCAGGGGTGGGGAACCTACAGCCTTGAGACCTCACATGGCCTTCTAGGTCCTTGGGTTCAGCCATTTAACTGAGTCCAAATTTTATAAAACAAATCTTTTTATTAAGGGGATTTGTTTGTGAAGTTTGGATTCAGTCAAAGGGCTGCACTTGAGGACTAGAAGGCCACTTGTGGCCTTGAGGCCTCTGGTTCCACACCCCTAGATAAGATCATAATTTGTATAGAATGTGCTAACAATAGCAATAAGGAAAGGCTTACTGTAGGAAGTTGCATGTGAGGTGAACCTTAGAAAAATGTAAAGATTTTAGGAGGTAGAGTTGAAGAGGGAATACATTGCAGGTGTGTGGCATAGCTTGTGCAAAGACACAGGCTAATTGGGCTAACTGGGTTACAACAAGGGTAGGGGAACCTGAAGCTTTGAGGCCACATGTGGCCCTCTAGGTCCTCAAGTGTGACCCTTTGACTGAATCCAAACTTCACAGAACAAATCCCCCTAATAAAAGGATGTATTCTGTAAAACTTGGACCCAGTCAAAAGGCCGCAGCCAGGGACCTAAGAGGCCACATGTGGTCTTGAGGCCAAAGATTCCCCACCCCTGGTTAGAATATAGAATGGATGAAGTGGGGTGATGTGGAATAATTCTAGAAAGGCATGTTGGTCTTTCAATATTAAGCTAAGAAATTTATGCCTTGTGTTAGAGGTAATATGGAGCCACCACAGACTCCTAAGGAGGGAAGTGATATGGTAGCTGTATGAGTGGTAGATTGGAAATAGAAGAGATTGGAAATGGTACAAGTATAAGTCTAAAATATTTTAATGGTCCAAATGAGAAGTGATGAGGGTTGGAAACTTTGTAGCAAGGATGTGTTCAGAGAAAAAGGGAGAGATGTTGTGGAGGTATGAGAAGACCTGGCAACTGATTGGTGTGGGAGAACGGTGAAAAAGTTGAGGATAACAAGTTACAAAACTGAATGACTGAAAGAACTTTGGTGCCCTCAATAGAAATAGAGAAGTGTGAAGGAGGGGTTAGTTGAGGAGAGATTGGGAAAAGGGAACAAACAGATTATCAGTTTCATTTGAGATATTCTGAATTTAAGATGACTATGGAACAGCCAGTCAGCTAATCAAATTGGAATGAAGTTCTAGAGATAGATTAGGGCTAGATAGGTAGATCTGAAAATCCTCTGCACAAAGATGATAATTGAAATCATGTGGGCTAATGAGATTGCTGAAAGAAAGAATATGCAGAGTCAAGAAAAAAAAAGGGATCAGGAATTAGCCATAATTAAAGGGTGAGACCTAGGAAATGATCCAGCAAAGGAGACTAAGGAGTGATTGGGCAGGTAGAAGGGGAACCAGGAAAGAGCAGTGTCATGAAACCAGAGAGAGGAGAGAGTATACAGAAAGTGTGGGTGGTTAGCAATGTCAAAATAATTTGGAGAAATACAGAAAGTTGAAGTCTAAGAAAAAACCACACGTTTATCAAGTAAGAGATTGTTGGTGACCTTGAAGAGAGGGATTTCAATCTTGTGGTAGGGTTGGAAGCCAATATATCATAAGGGATGGAGAAGTGAAAGAGAGGTAGATGATGACTTTTTGTAGGAGTTCATGAAGGGGGGAGGAAGATATAGGGTGATAGTTTGAGGAGGCTGTGTCTAGTGAAGATTTAAAAGCTTCTGAATTTAAAGATTCATTTCCATACACACAGCAGAACATACAAAGATTCTGTATGAAACCATGAATCTCCATTTCATACCAATTGCTTTTGTAAAAGTATATATAATGGATTCTACATGTCACTTTTAAAACTGTCCTTCCTGCTTATGTGTTTTGAACTTCCTTCTGTTTTCTTTTGTGCATTAAAAAAAATATTTCGGTGGCCTCTTTTTTTTTTACGTCACAGTTGCTAACCATATCAATTAAAAACTAGTAGAAAGACCAAAAAAAAAAATCCCTATTAACAAATTAGGCTAAATGAATACACATAGTGGCCTTTACCAAAAACATGTATTTTTGTTATCTTGTGTCCATCATTTCTCTGTTAAGAGATGGGTAAGAGGTTTCACATATGGTCTTCTGGAGAAATTAGTGGTCATCGCTTTGATTGGAGTTCTTACTGCTTTGATTGAAGTTCTTAAGACCTTCAAAGTTGTTTTTCTTTATAGTGTTATCCTTGTTTGTATAAAATGTCTTCCTGGTTTTGTTTGCTTTAC